TCTGCCCTGGGTTCCCCCAAATCACTCCTTCCCAAGAACCGTCCTGAGACTGACGCCCAACCGTATGCCTGGAAAGAAGTAGTCCCACCTCGGAGTCCACCTCGTGCCTGGAACACCTGGGGCCGGGCGTTCCAGGGGGACTTGGGGTCTGCTGACAGCAGTTGCTGCAGGCCGGAGGGGGCAGTGCCGGCGGCAGGGGCGTTCCGGGGTGGGAGTCTAGCGAGCCAAGCAGTTGTGCAGCCAGCGGGACAGGGCGGGCAGGGGCAGCTTCCAGGGGACTGTGTCTAGACTGAGCAGCGCAGTTGTGCAGGCCAGCGGGGCAAGCGCCGGGGGCGGGCCGCGCAGGTCAAAGTGCACCCGCGCGCAGTCGAGACGGACCGAAGTAAACACGAATCAGTTTAGACGCGGTCCTGCGGATGCGGAGTGACCATGCAGAAGTCCTGGGGAGCCGCAGGCGGACTGGCGGATTGGCAGCAGGGGGTTAGGCAGGCGGCGCGCGCAGACTGCTCAGCCCGTCGGCGTACTGGAGCCGCGGTTCTCGGGTCGGACGTCAGGGCCCTCGCGCATTCTGCGCACACAGCGCTCGGGCGGCGCAGTGGGCCGCACCACGCCAGGCAGGCGAGCCACGCCGCGATGCGCCCAGGGCCGGCAGCATCGTGACCGCACCATGGGCTCTCGGCGGGCGGGCCAGGCGGCGGCAGGTGGGCCGCGCTCGTGCTGCAAGCTCGGCCCGGACGTTAGACTCGTGGCGGAGAGCGCGCTGCCACGCGCCGGCCTGCGGGCGGAGGCCGCCGTCGTATGGCGCGCCTTGGCTGGGCCAGCTGGGCGGGCAAGACACCGAGAGAAGGACAGAGCCGGGCGGATGAGTAAGGCTCGGCTGTGAGGCACACAGCCAGCCTGGGGTCAGGACTCGATCCAGGGAACTTTAACAGAGCTACATGGCCAGAGCAGCAGGAGGTTCTGGGGACCTAGAGTCTCGCTCTGTCACCAGGCTGGAATCAGTGTGCATTCACAGGATCATGCAAGCTCATTCCTGGCTGAGGATCTCCCACTGGGCTCCAATGCTGGATCAGCGGAGCGAATTGGCCACACTTGCTGGTTGTTTTCTTTTTTTTTGACAGACTCTCGCTCTGTGCCCGGATTAGATGCCATGCTGTAGCTAGCTCACAACCTCAAACGATCTGGGCTCAAGCGATCTCCTGCCTCGCTCCAGATAGCTGGGACTACAGGCATGCGCACCATGCCGCTAATTTTCTATATATTTTTAGTTTGCGCCAATTATTTACTTTCCACCCGCCAGGTCGTGCGCCAGGTCTTTGATGAGGTGCCCGACGATGGCGTAGGCCACGGCCACCACGACGAGCGCGGCCAGCAGCAGGTACAGCGCGTACCGGGGCAGGCGGACGGCGTCCAGCGGGGGCGGCCGGTACTCCTCGTACAGCGGCGGGGCCTGGCTCCAGCCCTCCGCCGCCTCCTGCTCCGCCAGCCCCGGCATGGTGGCCGCCTGGAGCGCAGCGGCGGCCCGGAGGTGACCCACGCAGCGGAAGTATTAAGGGCTCTGGGCTAAGAGGATTGGGCGGCCTCCTCCTCCGGCCACCGCCTGCCTGGGTTAGTCACGTCGCAAATCCCAAATCGCTTCCGCCCACCGGCCCGGCCCTGTCGCGGCGCAGCCGCCACTCCGCCCAGAACGCCCTGTGCCCGGGTCTGGCTCACGGCCCCTGCCCTCTCTTCCTCCGTCCACCTGGGACGTGGAGAGGTCCGCGTGCGAGGCCGGGCCGGGCCCTCTCCTGGGTGCTGGGCCCCAGCGGTGAATAAGAAAGACCGAAACCCGCAGCCCAGGCAGGGAGACAGGTGCTAAGAGACTCTCGGCCCTGGAGTAAACGGCACACTAGGTGGGAAGGGACCAGTGGTGTAGACGGAGTGGGGCACCTGGAGGGGAGGTGAGCACAGCTAGGAGGGGAGTCGCAGCTTAAAACAGTGTGGCCAAGGCCTTGGGGAGGAGGGGAACCAGCCGTGGGAGTCCCAGCAGGAAGAGCACTGCAGGCAGGGGCACAGGCCGTGCAAAGGCCCTGGGGCAGGACGGCACCTGGCGTGTTGGAGGCTCAGCAAGGAGGCCCGTGTGGCTGGAGCAGAGGGAGGAGGGGCAGAGACGGAGAGGGGAGGGCAGGGAGGGGACCGGGCAGGTCCTGCAGGGCCTGGTGGGCTGCAGGGAGGACCTGGGCTTTGACCCGGAGGGAGGTGGGAGCCCTGGAGGGCTGTGGGCAGAGGAGGGACGGCCTGACTCGGGTGCTCACTGGCGCCCTCTGGTGGCTGCTGCGGGGAGGACAGACCGTGGAAGGGCTGGGCGGGAACTGGGAACCAAGCCGGAGGGGACCGTAGCGTTCCGGGTGGGAGAGAAGTGGGCAGCTTGGGGATAGATTTTAAACTAATGACACCCGGCGTTTTTAGGCTGAGCACCTGGAATGATGGTGTTTTCATTTCTTACGGCAGGAAGCCTGGGGCAGAGGCACCTCCAGGGCTAACAGGAGAGATCTAAGGAAGCAGCCCGGGGCCCAGGTGGAGAAGGGTTTGGAGCCCCCGGGGACGGATGAGACCTCGGGAGGGGTGGGGGTGGAGGAGGGAGGAGGGCCCAGGACAGAGACAGGGAGGCCCACGGGTGTCCCAGGGAGGGGGAGGGGAGCCGGGAAGAGTGTGGGGTCCAGGGCCTTGGTCTTCCCAGGAGAAGGGGCCCTGCCAGGTCAGACGCTGCCAAGGAAGGCAGGGACGGAGACGTGACTGGCAAACAAAAGACAGTGGGGTGAGGGGGACGGAAAATGCAAGGTCAAGAGGGGGGTTGTTTCTTCTTTTTTAGTTGTTTTGTTTTTAAGATGGGGTCTTGCTCTTTCGCCCAGGCTGGAGTGCAGTGGTGTCATCACAGCTCACTGCAGCCTCCAACTCCTGGGCTCAAGCGATCCTCCTGCCTCGGCCTCCCAGAGTGCTGGGATTACAGGTGGGCCACCGCACCCGACCTTCTCGTTTTTATGCAATGACAGCCCAGGCTGGGCGAGGTAGCTCATGCCTGTAACCTCAGTATTATGGGAGGCTGATCCGGGGAGAGCACTTGAGGTCAGAAGTTCAAGACCAACCTGGGAAACATAGTGCAACGCTGTCTCTCTACAAAAAAAATACAAAAATTAGCCAGGCGTGAAATCCTTGAGGTTCCACGGGCTTCAGAATTGAGCACTTTTCACACTTGGGGAAGGTAATGAATCCAGTTTGTATTGGTCAGGATGGCATAGACCATGCTGCGTAACAAACATGCCCTCGCCTCAGCAGGCAGCTTGTTGCTGCTTACTCCTGCGCACGTGGGGCCTGGACTGGCTGAGGGCTGCTTCTCCACGATGCGCAGGCCCCGGGCTGCGGGGGCAGCTGTTGTGCGGATAAACCTCCGGCCTCTAGGCAGGGGGAGGGGAGGGCAAGGAAGCACTTCACCCCAGGTTCTGCGGGCCACACGCTCTCCTGTTTCATTGGCCAAAGGAGGTCGCATGGCCGTGGCTGCATCAGACGGGGTGCAAAGGTTCACCCAGCCCCGTGCACAGGAAGCAGCAGGACTGTTTAAGAACAGCCCCAAGGACTCTGCACAGCGGGGTTTATCGCCAGTGCTCCCATGGGAGCTGGGGGACACATTCCACAACCCGGCAGGTTCTCGACCTCTGTGCTCACCGGGAGCCGGAGCGTTCTGTTGTGGGGACCCAGCATTGCCTCCACCCACTAGATGCCACCTGCAGCCCCAGCCTCATCTGTGACAACCAGAAGCGTCCCCAGGGGGCAGGGCTCATCGCCCCGGCTGAGAACGACTGCGCTGTAGCAAACCGTGGACGGTCAGCTCGTGCCGACTTTGCCTCCGACTTTGGTTTTGGGCTCTTGTGGCCGTAGACAAGCGGCCGTGGGCCCGCGGTTCTCCCGCTGTGGCCACTTCACAGAGGCTCACGGGCTGCCCCGGGGCTGTGTGCGCAGGAATGGGGGAGCTGAGAGGGGAGCCCAGCTGGTGGGCTCTTAGCTGTACCACTGAACCCCTTCCGCGGTGCCCCCAATAGGAGCTGGGGGAAGATGAGGGTGTGGGGTGGGCCAGGCTGGAGGGCAGGGAAATGGGGGCTGGCTGGGCAGACCTTACCCCTTGCTTGTCCCTGATGGCCGTGCAGTCTCGCCGGCAGGACAATTCCTAGAGCTGGTGGCTCCCAACATGCCCCGCCCCCCGCACTCAGGTAACATTCTGTGGGTGGCGGTTCTCCCTGCCCCAACACACCAGAGAGTCATCACTTGGCAAAAATAATTTAATATTACATTTGGGCAGTGTCCTGTCCCTCCCTGGCCCCTGTGCCCGGCACAGCCCACTAAAGGACCTCCTCCCCGCCTCTGCCCAGGCCCCCAGACCCTGTACCCCTTCCCTGCTCTGCCCCTGGGTTCCCCCCAAATCCTCCTTCCCAAGACAGCCCGTCCTGAGCTGCACGCCCCAAACCGTCTGCCTGGAAAGAGGTAGTCCCACCTCGGAGTCCCACCCCTGTGCCTGGAAACACCCTGCGCCGGCCGGGGCAGCTTCCAGGGGACTTGGGGAGTCTAGCTGAGCAGCAGTTGTGCAGGCCCGGACGGGGGACAGTGCCGGGGCAGGGCAGCTTCCAGGGGACTGGGAGTCTAGCTGAGGCAGCAGTTGTGCAGGCCAGACGGGGGGACAGGGCCGGGCAGGGGCAGCTTCCAGGGACTCGGGTCTAGCTGAGCAGCAGTTGTGCAGGCCAGCGGGGCACAGCCGCCAGGGCGGGCGCAGGTCAAGTGCACCCCGCGCGAGTCGAGAAACGAGACCCGAGTTACACGAATCAGTTTAGACGCGAGTCCTGCGGGGAGTGACCCTGCAGGGTCCTGGGAGCCGCCAGGCTGGCGGGGTGGGAGGGGTCTAGCAGGCGGCGCCGCGAGCTGCTCCAGCGTCGCGTACTGGGAAGGCCGCGGCGTTCTCGTGCGCGTACATGTCAGGGCCACTCGCAGCTCTCGCGCACACGCGGCTCGGTCGCCGCGTGGGCCGCAGCACGCCAGGCAGGCGGGCCGCGCGATGCGCCCAGGGCCTCGGCGCACTCTGCCGCACCATGGGCTCTCGGCGGGGCGGGCCAGGGCGGCGGCCAGGTGGGGCACCGCCGCCTCGTGCTGCAGCTGGCCCAGGACGTAGCCCACTCGTGGCGGAAGAGCGCGCTGCCACAGCGCAGGCCTGCGGGCGGGAGGCCGCCGTCACGCTCTGGCAGCGCCTTTGGCTTGGGCCAGCTGGGCCGCCAAGACACCCAGAGGGAGAGGCGACAGAGCCGGGCAGAGATGAGTAGAAAGGGGCTCGGCTGAGGACACCAGTCCAGCCTGGTGGGTCAGGACTCCGATCCAGGAACTAACCCAGAGCTACATGGCCAGAGCACCAGGAGAGTTCTGGGGCCTAGAGTCTCTCTGTCACCAGGCTGGAATGCAGTGGTGCAATCACAGCTCACTGCAGCCTCCAATTCCTGGCTGAGTGATCCTCCCACTGTGGCCTCCCAACTGCTGGATCAAGGCGTGAGCGAATGGGCCCACACTTGCCTGGTTGGTTTTCTTTTTTTTTTGGGACAGACTCTCGCTCTGTTGCCCGGGATAGAGTGCCATGCTGTCAGCCTAGCTCACAGCAACCTCAAACTCCTGGGCTCAAGCGATCCTCCTGCCTCAGCTCCGAAGCTGGACTACAGGCATGCGCCACCATGCCCGGCTAATTTTTTCTATATATTTTTAGTTGGCCAATTAATTTCTTTCTATTTATAGTAGAGACGGGGTCTCACTCTTGCTCAGGCTGGTTCGAATCCTGACCTCGAGCGATCCGCCCGCCTCGGCTCCCAGAGTGCTGGGACTACAGGTGGGAGCCACGCGCCCAGCCTTGCCTGGCTCTATTCAGTCCCATGGAAATGCTCGAGGGCAGCGCTGGTCCCCGCACAGAGGTGCCGTGAGCCTCACACGGCCGCTGGGCGGCCCCGCCCTCACCTGCAGCCAGCGCCAGCGCCGCCTCCTGGCCGCCGAGCGTCCCGCAGCGCGAACATGGCGCGCTAGCCTCGAACAGCGCTGGACTCGTCAGCAGCACGGCGCGCAGCGCCCCACGTCGCGTCCTCGCCGGCGGGCTGGTCCACGGAGGTAGCCGGTCACCGCTCCCCGCGTGCTGCTGCAGCCACTCCAGCCGCTGACCGCCAGTGGCAGGTCTCGGCCACCTGCAGGGAGAGGAGCGCTGGCGTCCTGGGGTACGGGACGGCCATCACCCACCTCCGGGGCTGGGTTAGACGGGCGACAGACCTAACAGCAGGGTGGCAAGGTGACAGACGGAGGCAGAAGACCTCAATGAGGAGGTGGCATCAAGGTAGAGACCTGAACCAAGCCAGGAGGGAGTCAGCAGAGACCTGGGGACAAGGACGCAGCCCACGCAAAGGCCCTGAGGCAGGGAGGGGTGGGGGCTGCGTTACCTCAACAACAGGGTCCGTGGAATATTCCTTCAGCAGCTCCAGGACTTCAGGGTCCCGATGGCTCCAGGGCCTCCCTAGGAAGCAGCAGCCAGACATGTGAGGTGGGCAGGTGGGCGGGACCTGTCCTGCTACCTGGGAGCCACTGACCCGATACCCTTTCACGACTCCTGTGTGGGCGGTCCCGCCTCTGGGCACAGCTGATTGGAGCTGTGGCAGGTACAGGCTCAGGCTGGGCCAATCAGTCCCTCCCTAGAGCGGGGACCTCCTGGAACACGCAGGCTGCAGCAGCGGCCAGCTCCGCCAGAGACCCGAGACAGGTGTGTGGCTACGACCGCGGCACGCAGCTGACAAGGAGCTCCAGGAAGGTTTGGCTAGTGGAGCCGACGGGAACCAGCCGAGAGAGATTTTACGCTGGGTGAGGGAGGCTGGGCAGCCCAGGGCAGGCTGGACGCTGAGGCCACTGGCCAAGACGACACTGTGCCAAGGCCTGGGCCACGACGTGGGTGCAGTGGGACAGCGGGCGGTGGCAGGTGGGTGCAGAGACCAGGCCCCGGCAGAAGCCCAAGCCCGAAGGCTGCTCTCTCTCTGTGGAGCCCTGGATGCGGGCACGAGCTTCGCATTTTCTCGAAATAGAGCCCAAAGGCCCCTGCCTGTGGGGCGGGTGAGATGGTGGCCTCGTCCTTTCCTGCCGCAGGCTACGCAGGCGTGCACCGGCCTGCCTCCCTCTGCCTGGGCACAATCCTGTGTGCCCAGCACGCCCTGTGGGTCAGGAGCCTGTCACCTCCTCTCTACAAAGGAATGCTCTGGTTACAGACACTCAGTCCCAGCCACACTGACACCCCGACTATCGGACTCATTTCTCTATTCATTTTATTATTAGTAGTAGTAGAGACGGGGTCTCGCTCTTGCTCAGGCTGGTCTCGAACTCCTGGCCTCAAGTGATCCTCCCACCTTGGCCTCCCAGAGTGCGGTGCCTACAGTGGGTCTGTGGGTCTCTGTTCAGCCCGCAGAGCTACAGCTATTTACTGTCCAGGGCTTTGCAGAAAGTTGACTGCCCTGACGTTTGTCACCTGAGCGAGTACCGTGGACACAAGAGGCAACCGGGAGGAGAGGCAGAAGGGAGGGGGTGTCCTGGACACAGGTGGGAGGGCGCGAAGCCCTGGCCACTCACCTGCCTCGTGGCGCACCATGGGCTCCTGGCGGGTGTCACGCAGCACGTCCACCAGCACGGGGATGGCGCGGGCATCCTGCATCTGGCCCAGGCAGTACGCCAGCTCGTGCTTGAGCAGGGCGGAATCGTCACTGAAGGCCTGGCTGATCCAGGAGATGGCGCCCGGGCCACCGAGCCCACGCAGCGTGAACAGCGCCCGGAAGCGGGTCTGCAGGGGCTGCTTGGGGTCCACCAGCGTCCGCCCTATGGCCTCCACCTCCTGCTCCGTCACCATGGTGCCCACCTCCTCCTGCCCGTAGATGGGACACAGCCCTGCTCGAGCAAAATGGAGGGTCTCGGGTGTAAGAACCTGCAGTAGAAAAACGATAGCTCAGGTCAGAGGTGTCTTTCACCAGCTCAATGGCATGTTCATAGGACCAGGGCAGGTGGTTTCCTACCCACTGGGCATCTGGTTGCAAGCTCATCTGGGACCCCGCCTACCTGCTGTTCAGCCTTCCCTAACCTACTTTCCCTCTCTGAGCCTCACGCTCCACAACTCCGTTATCAGCAATGCCCTCCACTGCCTGCTCTCCACACAGCAGCCGGAGGGATGGCTGGTCCCTGATGGCCTCTGGTGATCCCACCTCCTGGTATCCGTGCCTTTATATAGTCAGTCCCCTCCCACTATGAATAGAGCTGACCCCTGTGAACAGTAGGATATGGAAAAATAACAGTGAGACTTCTGCAGTTAGGGCATAAAAGGCAGCTGGTTCCTCCTTGTGCTCTCTCTGGGGAGCCAGCCACCATGTTGGGAGGAAGCTCAATCAGCCTTGTGGAGGGGCCCAGGTGGCAAGGTACGGAGGCCTTCCACTGACAGCCATGTGAGAGAGGTGGCTTGGAGCAGCTCCTCCAGCTCTGGGTGAGCCTTCAGATGACACGTCCCCAGCCTGTGTCTTCACTGCAGCTTTAGAGACCAGAGCCGGAACAAGCCAGCTAACTCAGGCCCAGACTTGCGCCCCACAGCAGCTGTGTGAGGTAGTGTTTACTGTTGTTTAAAGCTGCTAAGTATGGGGTAATTTGTTACACAGCTTAGATAACTGATTCAGGAATCCTTTCGGTATGTAAATTGGACCCTGTAACTCCATTGCCTGAAATCCTTCGTTTCTCATTACTGCAAATTCCTTAATACCATGTTTCCCCGAAAATAAGACCAGACCTACCCATAAAAGATGCTTTAGCAGGATTTCTAAGCATTTGCGCAATAGAAGCCCTACCCTGAAAATAAGACCTAGTGCTGGGTGTGGCTGCGCAGCGCATCTGTACAACCCATGCATTTCGTCACGGAGCGGTAAAGATGAGCAGCCCCTCTCATCTGCCCCATGAGAGCTCTATTGTTTGACAAGAGATCGGGGCCAATGGTTCTAAAGGAAACAGAGTCGCAAGAAATTCAGGATGGAATTCGGGGTTTTGAGAGTTATGATGATGTTCCAGAAGAAGACGACTTAACTATATTTGAATAAGTATAGATTACTGTACTGTACTTAAAAAAAATAACACATTCCCTGAAAATAAGCCCTAGGGCGTCTTCTTGAGGAAAAATAAATATAAGACCCTGTCTTATTTTTGGGGAAACACGGTAGTGCCAAAAGCCCTTCCGTCCTCCCTCTCATTCTGCCCCAGCCCCATGGCCTTTGCACTGGCTGTTTTCTCCGTAGGGACCATTCTTTCCCCAAATGCACCTGTGGCTCCTCCTCTCGCTTCCTTTAGTCTGAAATGTCTCCTCCTTATAGGAGCTTTCCCTGACCACAATCTGCAATGTTACTCCGTCAGCTCTCTTCCCCTGTTCACCTTCATTTTTCTTCAGAGCACTGACCACCACTAGACATTGCTTTGGATGTTATTGGTTTAGTCGCTTATAGTTGGTCTCATCCCTCAACAGAACACAACTCTGAAAGCAGGGACCGAGTCTACCCTCCGCACTGCTGTCCTCCTAGCACTTAGCGCAATGACCAGCACACAACAGGACCTCACCAAAAACAGCATAACAGCAGCAGCTGGCCTTTATGTAGCATTTGCTATCACCAGGAGAGTTCTGGGGGCCTAGAGTCTCTCTGTCACCAGGCTGGAATGCAGTGGTGCAATCACAGCTCACTGCAGCCTCCAATTCCTGGGCTTGAGTGATCCTCCCACTGTGGCCTCCCAACTGCTGGGATCACAGGCGTGAGCGAATGGGCCCACACTTGCCTGGTTGGTTTTTCTTTTTTTTTTTGGGACAGACTCTCGCTCTGTTGCCCGGGATAGAGTGCCATGCTGTCAGCCTAGCTCACAGCAACCTCAAACTCCTGGCTCAAGCGATCTCCTGCCTCAGCCTCCGAAGCTGGGACTACAGGCATGCGCCACCAATGCCCGGCTAATTTTTTCTATATATTTTTAGTTGGCCAATTAATTTCTTTCTATTTATAGTAGAGACGGGGTCCGCTACTCTCAGGCTGGTTTCGAATCCTGACCTCGAGCGATCCGCCGCCTCGCTCCCAGAGTGCTGGGACTACAGGTGGGACCACGCGCCCGCTTGCCTGGGCTCTATTCAGTCCATGGGAAATGCTCGGGGCCAGGCCTGGTCCCCGCACAGAGGTGCCGCTGAGCCTACACGCCGCTGGGCGGCCCCGCCTCACCTGCAGCCAGCGCCAGCGCCGCCTCCTGGCCGCCGCGTCCCGCAGCGCGAACATGCGCGTAGCCTCGAACAGCGCTGGACTCGTCAGCAGCACGGCGCGCAGACGCCCCACGTCGCGTCCTGCCGGCGGGGCTGGTCCACGAGAGGTAGGCCCGGTCACCCGCTCCCCGCGTGCTGCTGCAGCCACTCCAGCCGCTGGACCGCCAGTGGCAGGTCTCGGCCACCTGCAGGGAGAGGAGCGCTGGCGTCCTGGGGTACGGGACGGCCATCCCCACCTCCGGGGCTGGGCGTTAGCAGGGCGACAGCCTAAACAGCAGGGTGGCAAGGGTGACAGACGGAGGCCAGAAGAACCTCAATGAGGAGGTGGCATCAAGGTAGAGACCTGAACCAAGCCAGGAGGGAGTCAGGCAGAGACCTCGGGACAGGACGCAGCCACGCAAAGCCCTGAGGCAGGGAGGTGGGGCTGCGTTACCTCAACAACAGGGTCCGTGGAATATTCCTTCAGCAGCTCCAGGACTTCAGGGTCCGATGGCTCCAGGGCTCCCTAGGAAGCAGCAGCCAGACATGTGAGGTGGGCAGGTGGGCGGGACCTGTCCTGCTACCTGGGAGCCACTGACCCGATACCCTTTCACGACTCCTGTGTGGGGCGGTCCCGCCTCTGGCACAGCTGATTGGAGCTGTGCAGGTACAGGCTCAGGCTGGGCCAATCAGTCCTTCCCTAGAGCGGGGACCTCTGGAACCACGCAGGCTGCAGCAGCGGCCAGCTGCCGCCAGAGACCCGAGACAGGTGTGTGGCTACGACCTGGGCACGCAGCTGACAAGGAGCTCCAGGAAGTTTGGCTAGTGGAGCCGACGGGAACAGCCGAGAGAGATTTACGCTGTGGTAGAGGGGAGCTGGCAGCCAGGGCAGGCTGGACGCTGAGGCCACTGGCCAAGACGGACACTGTGCCAAGGCTGGGCCACGACGTGGGTGCAGTGGGACCAGCGGGTGGTGGCAGGTGGGTGCAGAGACCAGGCCCCGCAGAAGCCAAGCCCGAAGGTGCTCTTTCTCTGTGAGCCCTGGATGCGGGCACGAGCTTCGCATTCTCGAAATAGAGCCAAAGGCCTGCCTGTGAGGCGGTGAGATGGTGGCTCGTCTTTCCTGCCGCAGCTACGCAGGCGTGCACCGGCCTGCCTCCTCTGCCTGCAGTTGTGCAGGCCCGGACGGGGGACAGTGGCCGGGGCAGGGGCAGCTTCCAGGGGACTTGGGGAGTCTAGCTGAGCAGCAGTTGTGCAGGCCCAGACGGGGCACAGTGGCCGGGGCAGGGGCAGCTTCCAGGGGACTCGGGGAGTCTAGCTGAGCAGCAGTTGTGCAGGCCCAGGCGGGGCACAGCCGCCAGGGCGGGGGCAGGTCAAGTGCACCCCGAGCGAGTCGAGAAACGAGACCCGAGTTACACGAATCCAGTTTAGACGCGAGTCCTGCGGGGAGAGGTGACCCTGCAGGGTCCTGGGCAGCCCCGCCAGGCGGCCTGGCGGGGTGGGGAGGGGGTCTAGCAGGCGGCGCCGCGCAGCTGCTCCAGCCCGTCGGCGTACTGGAAGGCCGCGGCGTTCTCGTGCGCGTACATGTCCAGGGCCACCTCGCAGCTCTCGCGCACCACGCGCTCGGGGTCGGCCGCGTGGGCCCGCAGCACCGCCAGGCAGGCGGGCCGCGCGATGGCGCCCAGGGCCTCGGCGCACTCGTGCCGCACCATGGGGCTCTCGGCGGGGCGGGCCAGGGCGGCCGCCAGGTGGGGCACCGCTGCCTCGTGCTGCAGCTGGCCCAGGACGTAGCCCACCTCGTGGCGGAAGAGCGCGCTGCCACAGCGCAGGCCTGCGGGCGGGAGGCGGCTGTCACGCTCTGGGCAGCGCCTTTGGCTTGGGCCCAGCCTGGGGCCGGGGCCAAGACACCCAGAGGAGAGAAGGCGACAGAGCCGGGCAGAGAGCGGTAGAAAGGGGCTCGGCTGAGGACACCACAGCCCCAGCCTGGTGGTCAGGACTCCGATCCAGGGAACTAACCCAGAGCTACATGGGCCAGAGCAGCCAGGGAGAGTTCTGGGGGCCTAGAGTCTCGCTCTGTCACCCAGGCTGGAATGCAGTGGTGCAGTCACAGCTCACTGCAGCCTCCAATTCCTGGGCTTGAGTGATCCTCCCACTGTGGGCCTCAAACTGCTGGGATCACAGGCGTAGAGCGAATGGGCCACACACTTGCCTGGGTTGGTTTTTCTTTTTTTTTTTTGGGACAGACTCTCGCTCTGTTGCCCGGGATAGAGTGCCATGCTGTCAGCCTAGCCTCACAGCAACCTCCAAACAT